CATATATGCAAGAGGTACACGGTGGCAGATCGTGCAGTAGATTGTGGATTATCATTGAATAATGAAGTTGAACGGGGCCTATAATGCCATTGAGTTCAACCCCATAAAGATTACACATGGTATAGTAATCAGTAAGACAAGCAGTTGTTCCTTGTAGTATGGAGTGCTGCTTTTCAAAACCTAAGCCAGCTGGGCTGCCATATTTTTCCATGGGCTAGTCCATTCTTGTGTCCAGCTTCCCAGTCCCACTTTCTACAGAAGTCAGCTGGCATTCTGTACTCACTGACCATGCTCCATCTTCATTTAACAGCTCTGGAAAAGAGGCGCTCCTAGAGATTTTTTTGAGGGGGGGGTATTTTTATCAACCTTGTGTTTTTCATCAACCCACCCACCCACTCCAGTCCTCTGGAGTCCCATTGGCCCTGATTTTGCTATTAGTATGTAGCATAGACTCAAACCAGTAGGAAGCATTTGAGCAGACATTTCATCAACATTTTTCAATATTTAAGGAAGAGGCTACAAAAAGTTGCTTTAGAGATGCTTAAATGTCTGTCTCTTGTTAGCAGTCTTCCATTGGTAACTTGTGATGTGCTAAATGTTTTATGCTGTAGACATTTTATGAAAATATCATTCAAGTGCAATCTCTCAGAGGAACATTTTAGACATCACTCATTCATAGGGTCTCCATAAGTCAAAAGAGACTTGACAGTAGTACATAACAACAAAAACAACACTCTGAAGTGATTTCTTTGCCAGGATGTCAGTGTATTTCCCTTGTAGAAAAAGATTTTGTGCGCTTTCTGAACTTTAGGATGACTTTGTTGAAGAAAGACCAGAAGAATATTTTCCTTTGTTATGATCATGCGTACATGGCTGTATCCAGAGGCCACTAAAAAGTTACATTAACGAGGATGTTTTGCATTTCTTCCTCTTTGTTAGCAATGACAGCTGACATGGAAATATTATAACAAGAGTCACAAGAAGGGCCTAATTTTACAACATTGAATGCTGTTAATTAAAAGACTCATTGCTTTCAAGGTACTAGGAGTTGCATCCAAGATATTCATGTGAACTGTCTCATTCATTAAATTTTGCAATAGCCTGATATCCTGCAAGTGGTATTATTTTGTGTAATTTAATCCCAGCAGTTAAGACCACAACTTGTTAAAACAAAACAAAGCATAAAAACCCCTAATAGAATAGATTTAATTAAGCAATCTTCTATAAAAATCAAAGCTTAGAAATGTCTGTATTTGTCCTACTTTATTTTCTGAGACAGTCTTTTTTAATTGTTGTCATCCTTTTGCTACAAGTTGCTTGTTGTCCCCAGTGACACATGTAAGTTTCCAAGTCAGATCTGTAAAATCAAAACAGATCAGAGACTTCTCTTCTGCAGGAAGAATTATGTTAATCTCAATCTGTTAGTCCTTTGGTTATCTAGTCAATAAACAAATGTTAGGAAATGTCTGTGAGAAAGAATTATACCAGGATTTTTGGTTTTTATAGCATAGACTAGATTTTGTGCTGTACTATGTATACAAAAAGTTTCTATTCCATTTTGATTTTCAGTTTGAACTCTGAAATGGAGGGATATGGACTTATCATCCTAATAAGACTATCTTCCTGCCCCCCAATGATCAGATAAAATTGGACCAAGGCTTTTGTGAAGTTGAACCCCCTCAAGAGGGAGGACTCCAAACACCACAACAAATAACCAGACACAAAATAATACTAATACTGCTCTCACAAATATAAGAGAGAAATCCTAAGAAAAATGAAGGTTGTAATCATTTCTACGCACACTTACTTGACAGTAAGGTCCACTGAACACAACAAAAGGGCAAGTCACTTCTGAATTAATTAAATAATTGGTTTGTTTATTTGTATACTGCCCATCTGACTTCCAAGGCCACTCATGAATGGACATTGCGCTTGTCAAAGTGCACATAATCAAGGGCTTTATTAATGAGAAACCCCCAAATCTCATATCCTATATCAGCTCCAAATGGATTTCAAAATTTTGTGCCAGTATGGGGCCACAAATTCTGAGTTCTGAATTGTCACACATGATTGTTTGCTGAAATGTAATGTGAGTTCACACAACTCCTTCTCCCCGCCAATTGCCTAATCCTCTCCAAGCCTCTGCGAAAAATTCATGGTACTCATGTGCTATTACATGGCATACACTCTTGTTATTTAGCCCTAGCTCAAGTGTGAAAATTATATATTGGGGAAGAGGAGATGAATACCAGAATCCCCTGTACCCTCTTGTGGTTGACCCATTGCAACTTTCTGTCTACACTATTTATGAATGCATTAAAACTGGCATGAAATTTTCAATTAGGTTTGAAAGGAATACAAGACTTGGAATTTATAGGTCCACAAACTGTAACTGCTTCCATTGTTAACATTGTAATCATTATAATGATTACTCACTTGTAAATATGATTCTTAAACTCATTTTCAGTAACTTGTAATAGATGATGCTAGTTCACCATGGAGTCCTATTATAGTTGGAAAGAATATGTTCTGCGTTTCAGTTTGGGGGGAAAAGGTTGCATGTAGAAGTAAATAAATAAATGCTAATTTTATATCAAGTGTGTGAATTTTGTACCCCACAGTCTTTTGTAGCAACTATGGCAGAAGAAGAAGTATGCACTATATGACATACGTGTTGGAATAAGTACTCTATTATTGTACAGTAACACAGCACCATTGTCGCAAGAACTGTAGCCAGTGTTTTGTACTAGTATATTAAAGATAAATACAAAAGAACGCAATAGGATGGGAGAAATGATCTGATGCTTCCAAGGGGTGTACATGAGTGTTCCCTTAAGTAATCTTGCTTCTTTGTTTTGAATGCACATATTTCAGCTTTAATGGAAAGTGTGTGTTTATCAGATTTCCTGCCCACCCCTCTCAGTTTGGTAAAAAGCAGCATGATAGTGGAGATTCTTCCTGAAAGGGATAATGATCAGGTTAAGCCCTGTCATTTTCCTGGAAAGCAATAAAGTATTATGTTTCTATGACACTTTTAATCTAAGGGACTTTGTCAGTACTTTAGAGGCGTAAGTGCAGCAATCAAAGCTGTGCTTCATAAGCCAGTCACAATTTGATCAATATGTTATTGATTATAAAGGCGTCCTGCTGTAAAATTCCCTTCTACTCTAAGGATCAGCCATTCACCACAGCTTCTCCTTAAACATGAAATGAAATGTAGTCGAGGTAGCTGCTTTACGCGGGAGAGCTTACCGTATTTTTCCATGTATAAGACACCCCCCACTTTTCTAATCCAAAATTAAGAAATCTAAGTGGGGCTTAGCTAGTGTAGGGGGGGGAAGGGATCAAAGCACTGCAGGATCACTTTGATCTCTGCTTTCTCCCTTCGTGCTAAGCTCTGCAGGGCTTAGCAAAAGGGGGGAAGGGATCAAAGCCATCCCGCAACTGCACAGTCGTTTTGATCCCTTTCCCCCTTATACATCCAAGGGGTTGCTTTGATCATTTCCCCCCTCCTTTTGCGAAACCCGATGGGACTTAGCAAGCAGAGGGGAAAGCAGGGATCAAAGCGATCCTGCAGCACTTTGATCCCTGCTTTTCCTTTTGCTGATGCTTAGCAAGTGGAATGGAAAGCAGGGATCAAAGCCCTGTAGGATCACTTTGATCCCTGCTTTCCCCTCCACTTGTTTTTGTGCTCTCCTCAGCTTGCTTCCATGTATAAGACGGCCCTCAATTTTAGTCTAAAGATTATAGTCGTATACACAGAAAAATACAGTACTTGGGTTAGTTCTCACTTAGAAGGCAGCAGAAGGCAAGGATCTCTGTCTCTTGTGACCTCTTTTCCAAACAGGAAGAGTCTGTCTTTTCATGTCTCTTCTACTTCTTCCTAGGATTCAGTGCAATTAATAAAAAGGCTTTAAAACAAAGCACTTGGCAGTAGCCACCCATCATTCTCATTTTCAAAAAATGCCCCTGGAGCCCATATAAAGCCCCAAGGCATACTCAGTGCAAACAAAATTGAGTGTTGGAAACTGGCATTTTTCTCTGATGTATCCTTCTTGGTCTCTTAGATTATTATTTTTTAAAATTAAAGATACGTGTTTAAAAACCAGGAAGGCAGGCAAGGAAACTGTCCTTGGGTGCATTGGTGCCAGCTGCAATCATATGAAGCCTCTGCAGATGTCTGAGCATAGCTTGAAAAACTCACTACCTCCCAGAATCCCATGCTGTATGGGACATTCTGGGAGTTGTTATCCAAAAAAGTGACTTTTCTTGCTCTCTGCAGAATTTTTTACTTCTGGCCACTCTTACTTTAGTAAGAATGACTTGCAGAGCCTGCTTGAACCTCATCAAGAGAGCTACAGCTACCTCCTATTTGCAAACATTTGGGAAGTTTATAGCACTCAACCAGGAGCTTAGGAAGACTCTTGAAGGCCATGGGGACTGTAGAGCTAATGCTGGATTACAACATTATCCGTGTGTCAGACCTACGGGTCCCATGAAGGGTATGAGGCTGGTGAAACAACGCTTGCTATAAGGTTTATAAATGGTTCAAAAGCACATAAGGAATTCCTGGCAGAATGCTTTTGATTTGAACCAGCTCTGAACCATTAGACATGTTAATGCCTTTGGCTACTGCAGAATATTTTTCCATAAGTTCTGAGTAAACAAATCTGACCTCTGTAAATACACAGTTTATGTAAGAACTTCTGCATCAGAATATATGGTTTCCAGAGACACTTGAAATGTACAGTCTTAAGCCCTATTACCTTTGTCACAACTGTAACATTCCTCTTCATACCAAACTGAAAGCATGAGAAGTTACTTCACAACAAGTGCTTTAATGATTATTGTCACTTTGCATTGTTTGGTCAGGAAGACATACATAACTCAGTGCTAAAGCTGCTCTGGAAAGCTGTCAAGCAAATTTGCAGCCTAAGAAAGAACTTCCAAGACTCTTGGCAATATAGATTAACATTCTGTCATCCTCTTTGTTTCCACAGCTTCCCATCACTGAAAAAATAAGAACCATAGCTCAGAAAATCTATGGAGCTCAGGATATAGAGCTGTCTCCTACAGCAGAATCGCAAATAACCCGTTACAGTCAACAGGTAAAAAACAACAGGATGCTTTGTGAAAGTCAGTCCTTATGGTTTTAGTAATTCTGTATAAACAACAAGTAGATTTGTTGCATTTTTAAAACTTGACAAGTTTTGTCTAGTATAAGCTTTTGTGGACTCCAGCCATTGCTTCCAGTGTGGGGTGCAGCCCAAAGAAAGTTTGTGTCAGATAAAAATCATCATTCTTTCAAGTGCACCTTGTTTTTGTAGCAACAGAAGACACAAATGTGGCAACTCAGTTCCTTAAGTTTGTTTGAATTTTAAAGGGCCTTCTGTGTCCCAGGAATAAAAAGGTCAGTCCGTACAGTTCACTGTGCGTAGAGCCTATGCACATATAGAAAATAATGTGTGAAGCATCAGGTACACATACAAAACCACAGTACAGGGCCAGTTAACCATTAAATAAAGTGAAGCATTGGTTTCAGATGGTAGATGCTGGGAAGCACCATGGAAAGCCTCCTGAGCCCGATGCCTGTTTCCTCTGTTTAAGGGTAGAGTGACTTAGGCAGCAAAATTTGTCGTGGATCCCCTAAACCAGCTTGAGGGGTACTGAAGGACAGGATCCTGTTGCCAGTATTGTAGCCAGATTCAGCTACCAATCCAGAGGACTTCTGTATGTGGTAAAAGAGTGCCATCTTATCTTTACCTCAGGCAGCAAAAGGTCTTCAGCTGGCCCTGCATTCATATGTATAATTGTTCCTCTTCCCCTCAACCCCCAGAAAGATGCATAAGTTCAATAATTAGTCCTATACAACAGCAGATAATGTCAGTCATAGACTTTGCCTTTATTTCAGGGGTGGGCCATGTGTGGCCCCCTAAGGGCCTTTTTTGTGGTGCCCCCCACCCCAAAAAGCTTCCAGGCAGGTAGGCTTAAAAAACCCTTTAAAAAAGAGTTTCCTTCAGTAGCACTGTTTTTTTTTTTCATTGTTTATTTTTGATTTTTTGCTCTTGAGAGCTCTACCAACTTCACCAACCTTCCCCTTCCAGTTTTGGATTCCTCCTCCCCTCCTCGTTTTTGGCCATTTGGGGGCTTGGTGTGGGCTCTGGCAGTTGATGAAGATTAAAATGTTCCTCTCAGCTCCCATCAAAGCTGCCCATCTCTTTTTTGTTACAGAATATGAATTACTATAGTGACTTATAGATCTTAAAATGACGAGTTTTGGTCACAAACATTGACAATAATCTGTTGCTTTTCATTTGTACTCTGTCAGGGATTTGGAAATTTGCCTATCTGTATGGCAAAAACTCACCTGTCCCTTTCTCACATGCCTGACTGGAAAGGGGTCCCCACTGGCTTCATTCTGCCTATTAGTGACGTGAGGGCCAGTATCGGAGCCGGCTTTATATATCCATTGGTGGGAACGGTGAGTAGTATTTACTATGTATGAAATCTGCACTTTAGACCAGCCACTCTCTTTTTTTGCCACAGTCATGAATATAATATGAAAGAAATATACCATATTTTTCTGTCTATAAGATGCTACTTTTTCCTAAAATTGTTACCCTAAAAATTGAGGGGCATCTTTTACATGGAAGTGAGCTGAGATAGCTGAGGAGAGAACAAAATGGCACATACCTTGCCTCTGTAAACAGACTTCCTTCAGCCATGAGGCTTAGTTTCCTACAGTCAGGAGACTTAGCTTCCTTCAATCATGAAACTGGAACTGATGTCAGCTGATCCTGAAGAAACCAATCAAAACACACCTCCTTGGAGGTGGAGCCTGTAGGCTCAGATTCAACAGAGACTTAAAATGTCCGATGTTTTGAGCCCAGAGGCTGAATCGTCAAAGCTAGGTTTTCTTAAATTTTGGGGTTGGAAAATTGCAGGGCGATGTTTTGAGCCTAGAGGCTGAATCCTCCAAGATAGGTTTTCTTAAATTTGGGGGTTGGAAAATTGCAGGAGTGTGTGTCTTATAAATGGAGACATGTTATAAATGGAAAAATATGGTAAGCCAAATCAGGATTGTATAAGTTGCATAATGAACCTTATAAGGTGGTGTGTGAACAGTTGTTTCCAGTCTTTAGTTGCCTTCAAATGTGCCAGGGTCCCCATTGAGAATGGCTGCTTTAGACAGTGGTATATGCTTAGTGAGAGTTAGTGTGGTGTAATGGATATAGTGATGGAGTAAAATATAGGAGATCTAGGTTCAAATCCTCACTTGGCCATGGAAGTTTATTGGGTGGTAGCAACCACTCTTCAATATACCTTGGAAATCCTACTAGGTCTTCATAAGGTGAATGGGCCTTGACATCACATAACACAACATATGTCTTATATGTCTCCCCAGAGTGTAAATGACTCTGGGGAATCATCTGTTAGAAGTAGAGTAGAAATTCCTGAAGTAACCGAGAGCTAATGTAATAGAGTGTTGGACTATGATACCAGAAACCTGGGATAAAAAACCCCATTTGGCCCTGAAGCTCACTGAATAACTGTGAGTCCTTGATGCACTCAGTCTGGCGTACCTCACAGGGCTGTTGTGAGGATTAAATGGAGAGGAGCACATCGGCATAAGTTTATTGAATGAAAAGCAGGATATATATGTAACAAATAAATAAATAAACAATTGATCACACATCTCGAGTAGACATGGTCTAGAGGGGCGGGGTATAAATTTAATAAATAAATAAATAAATCTCTGCAACGTTATCCACGAGAATATTCATTTACCTACAGGTTATACCAGCACATTTATTTAATCAAAATGTGATTAAAGAATAGTGAGTTTCATGAACCCAAAGAGGCTATGTTTCCTCAAATGGAAGTCCCCACCCCCAGTAATATTCTTTGGGAAGTTTTCAAGTTTGTCATAGTTCCTGAAAAATTACCCACATACACCCTGTATATCTCCTGAGGTTATGAAAATTTCTTATGTAGCCGTTCTAGAGATAGGACTCAAGAATTTACTCTCTGTGCCAGAAGAAAGTGTTCTTGTAGTATTAATTCATCATGCCAGCCTCCTAGAATGCAGTCTTCTTTGCTCACATTACCCACACATTGGGGAGTAACTGGAAGTATTTGTCTTATTGTTCAGCTTGACCAGTGAAAGGGCACAAGGAAGGAAGCGATTACTGACTTGATGTGTTTTTTGGAGTTCAGGAAATTCTGTCATGGGGACTCTTTGGCCTTGAAGCTTGCTTTCTATGTATATGATCAGGAAACATTCCTTTCACCACAAGTGCAGTAAACTGTTAGTATTTCCTAAGAGGGAGGTAATCCATAATGTGACTTCAGCCCTTTTGTGCTCTCTCGGGAAGCTGGTTAATGTCTTGTGGAATGTTATGAGTAAAGCTGAATGCTGAGTGACTTCATTGAAATCACAGAGATATTAGCCAAGTTTGAAAAGAATTAGTTACCATTTCAGCTCCAAGAGTCCTCAAGAATTATTTACTTGCTGTTCTAGCTGCAGTTTTAAAAAAAATTAATTCTGATGTTATTGAAATTCATTAGAAGTATCTGTTTGTAAGTTGTTCCTTCCAAGCCTGGGGAATTATCCAGTGAGGCATGGTCTGCCTCTAGAGTGAACCATTGTTTTTCTTACAGATTGCAGAACTTCTGAGGGATATGAAAAATGGGACAATATACGTTTGCATATTCTTGTAATGTGTAATTTTAAAGTATCTTCAGATCGTTGGAAATCATTTTAAATAAGGGATTGTCTTTATAAAATACAAGTAGTGCTGTATTAGAGAAACCTGGTTTTGAGAAGAAAAAAATGCAGGACTTTCCAGAGAATTAAATAATTAGTGGTATTTATTCTCTGAAAATAAGGCTTATTTCATTTGACTCTGACCAAGGACTATGCAGTATGTTCACAGGTGGACTATTGACATCATGGCTTGGCTATACACAGAGCAGGCAGGAAAGCTTGCTGAATGTGTTTAGGAAACTGGTGAGGTCATTGCTGAGTTTTGTTTGAGTGGAGAATTACTGGATTCTCTAGTGCTTGTGAACAGACTCATCTCCACCCAAAAGCTATTAAAATATTTGTACTTTCCCACACGTTAGTTCATCAGCCATAGTGATGGTGTTTAAGAATGCAACTTTGGCTTCCTCCAGAGGCAGCAGTGATTAAGAGGCAATACAGAGTTACATTTTTGAATTGAGATTAATATGATTTTATTGTGCCAGCATTTGAAGTCACTTTTATTAAGTTCTAGGTTTAGCTTGGTTTTAATTAAACAAATTAACTAACACCAGTATTCCTTTTCTAATCACGTCATTATTAAATAGAAATGTTTCTCCCCAATTACTTTTTTTAAAAAATCATAAATTCAAAACAAGTACAGGGATATTGGAAACATTGGCTTCTTCTTCATGGTCTCTGTGGAGGCACACTAATGAGTTAATCCACGCTTGCGTGGAGCAGCCTCAGAACTTTCTAGCTCAAGCACATGGTGCTGGGACCTCCCCCACGCTGGTTATAACTTTTCCCCCAGCACCGAGTTCCCTTTTCGACCACCGCTGTTGCAGCTTCATTTGGAACTTCGTACGATTAAATCAAACAATTACTATTACCTTTCCCTTTCTTCCCTGGACCTCCCTGGCTTAATTCCGGACTGTTGACCTTGCTTCGCAATCATGAGTTATCTGCAAAAAGAAAAAATGGATTAATTGTCGTGTTTATTACTTTGAGTTTACGGCCTCACTGGGCCTCTTCAAGAGGTGCAAGGTGTGCTCAAACAAAATTCCCCTCTCCGACAGACTTTCCCATTGTTTATTTTGCCGCAGGGAAGAACAACTTCTGCAAAAACATTACAAAACCGGCTCTAAAGTTGTGGCTCCAACGCCTTAAATCATTTCTTTGGGAGAAATCCCTTACACCATCTCAAACTGCCTCTATGGATTCCCCAAAAACTCTGCAACCATCTCCTGTAGCTTCGCCTGAGGTTTCAGCCCAAAAGGCGGTAAAAATGGCGGCCAAACCGAGGTTGTCCTCAGCCTCGAGGTTGATGGCTGCAGGGTCGACACCGTTGCAATCTTCAACATCAAGTTCGAAGAAGAAGAAGAAAACCCTTAAGCCTGCTAAAGCTGCAGAAGTCTCGCACTGAGGCTGGAGATATACCAGCAACATTCAGTAAGCCTATGTCAGCCCTTTTTGCTGGCTCCGCCTCAGTATCGCGGATGGCACAATATCACACCTGAAGCTGAAGAAGACTATTTTCCTCTGCCTCCTTCTCAACCTTGCAAGAGGTATCTGCCACCAGCTTCTGATACCATCGGAGATGCCAAGCGTTCTTGGCTGGCGTCTGTCCCAGAGGTGGGCCATGCAGGCTATGTTTACTCTGCAGTTGAACCTGAGCCAAGCTTGGCTTGAGCCTAAGCTGGAGAAGTCTTGTCCCCAGCTCCACTAGAGGAGACGCCTTATTCCTCTTCCAATAATCAGAAGACACCACACCTTATTCCTCTTCCAATAATCAGAACTCTGACTCACAGGTGTCAGAGGGAGAGGAGGACTCACCAATTAATATTCTTACTCCTGTGTTGGATGTGGCAGACAACCACCCTCCTTTGCAATTAGAGGACTACTACTCCTACTCCTACTCCTACCTCATACACCAAATAGCGAAAGTCCTTGAGCTTGATGTTGAGGTACCTGCACTTAAGAAAACAAATAAGGTGTATGAAGACATCACTCAGGAACAAACTCCTCCAGTATGCCTTGGATTCATACCGTCCTACAAACTCCTCCAGTATGCCTTGGATTCACACCGTCCTTCTCTGAACTCGTGAGTCATGGCTTAAACCTTCCACTTCCTATCAGATTCCGATGAGGATCAAGAATCTGTATAAGGTGTATAGAACTGATACAGATTGCCTCTTAAAGCACCTTCTTCTGAATTCTTTTGTAGTTGACAGCACACAAATCAGGGCCCGGAATCATTGTCCTACTTATCTTTCTGACAAAGAAGGATGCAAGTTGGGTGTCCTAGACCACAGAATGAACTCTCTAGCCTCTTTTGTCCTCAGGGTGGCCAACTATTTGGCTGCCATGGGCGCTTACTACTGCCATTTGTGGAAAATTCAGGAAACGGCTCCTGAGGATGTGAGAGCCCAGGCCCTCTCGTATCATCAGGAGGCCATGGAACTTGCAAGACATGAGCACATTGCCGCCCGCCACACTTTAGAAGCGGCTTCCAAGCAGTTGGCCACTGCCATCTCTCTATGCTGTCATGCTTAGCTATACTCTGCTGGCATTTCAGGAGACACCAGGGCACGAATAGAGGACCTGCCATTTGATGCAGCAGGATTTTTTGATGAAAAGACTGATGAAATATTTGACAACCTTCTGAAGCTCCAGAAGACAGTGCAGTCCTACTCTGTGCAGCAGTCTCGTCCAAGGCAAGTGGGCAGGCAGCAAAA